CCTCCGCCCCTTCTCACCTGTGCACTCGCCGTCCTTGAGGGCGTAGCCGGGCTCGCAGGTGAGTGCCTTGTAGCAGCGGAAGGAGCCCAGGGTGTTCACGCAGTGCTCGCCCCGGCTGCACGTATGAAGGTCCGTCACACACTCGTTGATGTCTGCGGGGAGAGTGCGCGAGGCGGCCGTCAGGACCTGCAGGGCTCTCTGGGTCCAGAGGCCCAGCACAACCAGGGGACCTCAGGCCACCAGGAGGCAAGGAGCGCCAGGCCCTGCCCTTGGAGGTACTCACCATCCAGAGAGGAGCACGTGGCTGATGTCCCCTTATCCAAAACTCCCTTCATTCAACAAAGATTTACTAGGAACCAGCTACGTGTCAAGCACGCTTCTTGGCAAGAGGGACAGGTCAGCGACCAAGACGCACAGACACGGCTACCGTCGCGGAGCAGACGCTCAGATACATCAATGCTCACGACAAGGAGGGTGGTCACCAGCGACATGGAGAAAAGGGAGGACGACACGCGGGGGTGGGGGGGGTCGGTGCAGCAGGAAGTGAAGGGGACATGTGGACAAGAACCTGGGAGGGGTGACACAGCCAAACGGATGGTCCAGGCAGAGGAGCTAGCTGTGAGGGCCGGGACCAGTCAGGACCCTGCAGAGTTGTGGCTGCAGGGGAGAGAAGGACGATTGAGCAGGTGAGGATGGGGGGCAGGTGGGAGCCACAGAGGGTTCCCCACAGAGGGGGGAGGGTGTCCTGCTGCAGAGGAGAACAGACTAGGCTGAAGAGAAGCCAGGCGGGAGACGGAGGTGGCTGGGAGCACCACACATGGAGGTGGGAGGAGTTGGAAGATTCTAGAAAAACCGGAGGCAGAACAAATGAGATGCATTGACCAGACAAGATGGAAGAAAAAGCCGCGCGACCGGTGGCCATCCCACAGGGGCAGCTGGAGAAGCCGCCTGCAGGGGAGCCTGGGAGCCCGGTGGCCGCGGGTCCAAGAAGGAGCTGGAGACACTGAGGAGGACTAGGGGAGAGACCCCCAAATCCCAGGAGAGCCAAGGTGGCAGGACTGCAGCAGCTGGACTGGGATCCAGCCAGCCTGGCCCGGGCTGCAAGGCCCCGCTGTTCAGTGCCGGCAGCAGGGGGCGCTCTTCCACCTCCCGACTTGCTGCAGCCCAGCCCATCTAGGGCACCAGACAGTCCTCCGAGGGCAGGGCACAGGGGAGTCCCTGGCAGAGGTGACACCCTAAACAGTCCCACTTGGGCTCACATGCCTCTAGTGCTGGGGCGCTCACTACCTCTGCTGGTGGCCTCTGTGTAATGTATGTGAAGAAAAATGACAACACGAAAGCTCTAGCCCACTTCTTACCTGAACTAACCCACAGGGGGGTTCTGGTTCCACCGATTGACCCCAGGGGTGCTTAACCCCGGAGCCCCATCTCCAGGCCCTTTTATGTTTTATTTAGAGTCAGGGTCTCGCTGAGTTGCTGAGGGCCTTGCTTATTGCTGAGGCTGGCCTCCAACTTGTGATCCTCCTGCCTCAGCCTCCCCAACTGTTGGGATGAAAGGCGTGCACCCAGCACCTGGCCTACCTCACGGTTCTGAGGCAGGGGCTTATCTCACTCTCAGATGAGGGATCCAGGAGGTGGAGCAATTTTTGTATAAGGTCTTAGGAGTAAAAAAGTGCAAAAGCAGGACTTGAACCCCAGCAGCCTGGATGTGAGACCTCGCGTTCCCACGCGAGCCTCCCCTCCCACCTGCCGGAAGAACAAAGAGCCACAGGGGCCCCAGGAGGCGGTCACAGACGTGCGGGGAAGCCTGTGTGTGATGAAGAACACTCAGACGATCAGACAGGACGTGTGCGGTGCAGGAAGCAGGCGGGCAGCCAGAGGCGTGCTCGTGAACCTTGCTCAGGGGACAGACTGTTGGCATTTCATCTCCTAAACCCATTTCCCGGCTGCCTGGGGACCCCTAAGAGCACAAGATCTTCTTTCCTAGGCCACCCGGAAGCCCGCACACTGGGGCAGGCAGGAAGAGGGCATCCCGGGAAGGGCGTCCACCGGCCCCGGGTGGGACCTGCCTCCCCAGACGCACACACAGCCCCGACCCGCACAGGAGGAGAGGCCAGCCGCCGGCAAGCAGGTTCGAGAGGGCCCCATGTTCTGCCCGTGGCTGGAGGCCGGGGGGCAAACATGTCTGTGAAAGTCGCTCAGCCAGCACCCCGGGGCCTGTCTGCCCAGCAGCAGAGGGTCACAAAGGGGACATTCCAGGCTGGACATGGCCTTCAAGCAAGGAGAAGGCATGATACTATGGGGGCCTATCCCGGGCCCTGAGTGACCTCTGTGCAGACCCTACCTCTGGGCCTTCGCCTGGGCTGTTCCTTCCACCCTGCACACCCTTCCCGGTTCCGAGCCTGTCCACCCTGGGGGATCAGGCAGATTCCACCCTCCCCAGCGACAACAGCTGCTCTGCCCGTGTCTCTGCTGTAGCTTGACCTCTGTGTCCCCCGCTGCGCCTTTACATCTACCTCCGTTTGGGGAGCATCCCTGTGTCCTTGGCCCACCACCCACAGAGCCCCCAGAGCCCCGGCCTCTGGCCAGCACCAAGGAACAGGCTGCAGCGCCATCACCCAGCAGCCACTGCGACCTGCGCAGGCTGGGCACTGGGTCCAGGCCCCGCCTCCTCCACTGGGTACCACAGAGGCTGAGAGAGGGTAGCTGAACTGCTCGGCGTCACCCAGCAAATGGTGGGTACAAAACCAGATTAGCTGGACCCCAGCCTCTGCCATGCACCTGTGGAGAAGATTCTAGATGCATCCCAGGTACCTGGACAGCTAGACCCGGGCTCTGGACTGTACACATCCAGTGGTCATCAAAGGAAGATCAACGGAAGATCCACTTATGATGATTGAACCTGGGATGCTTAACCCCCGAGCCATGTCCCAGCCCTTTTCTACTAAGTTGCTGAGGCTGGCCTCCAACTTGCCATCCTCCTGCCTGAGCCTCCTGAGTGGCTGGGATGGCAGGTGTGCACCACCCCACCTGGAAGCAGCTTCCTCTGTAACAGACTAAGAAACTGTGGCCAGGAAATGGCAAGTGACTTTATGTCTGAAGTCAAAGCGAGGTGGGAACTCCCAGCTGCCCCACTGCCTCTGGATCCCACTGTGCCTGATGCCCTGCCCAGCGGCCCACCCAGCCTGGGGACACATTCTGCTGAGGGTTCTGACTCCTGGGGACGTCGCTGGACAAAGAGGCTTCCCCGAAGAAAGGCAGGACAAGAGGCCAGGACAAAGGCACGAGATGGAGCGGGGGTGCCGGCTGGGGACAGCTCATGGAAGGGCCTTAGCGCGTGGAGCAGAGCGGCCGTGAGCGGGCGGCGGGAGGCCTGGCGCTTACCCACGCACTTCCTGTGCGCGTTGAGGATAAAGCCCTGGGCACAGAGCAGTGTGTGATTGACACAGGAGAAGGATCCCAGGGTGTTCACACAGAACTGTCGCCGGCCACAATCGTGAGTGCCCGCCAGACACTCGTCTTGGTCTAGCCGCAGCCACGGGAGGGAAACAGAGCGGCCGTTAGCGGGCGGGTGCCAGCCACAGGTCTGCAGGGGGCAGGACCCACCTGTCCAGGGCCTCCCAGTCCATCCGAGGGACAGCTCAGCCTGGACCGAAGTCTGAGTCCACAGAGCCCCAAGATGGCAAGTGAGGCTCAGAGAGGGCAGGCGGTCCACCCACAGTCACACAGCAGGGCAGATCAGACCTGCCCCAGCCCTGGGAACAGTGCTCAGGGGGCCAGGCCAGCCACAGGGACAGGAGAGGGGCCCAGGGTCAGGGCAGCTCAGTGGGCACTGCAGGGCTGAGCTCTGGCCACAGGGGTGTGGAGGTGCGGCCCTGCTGGGCAGACGTACCAAGATGCAGGAGAAACCTCACACCTGCAGACGCTCTAGAACCTTGGGGTTGTCACGGCTG